CGGCCCGTGGCTCACTTGGGAGAGTGCGGTGCTGATAACACCAAGGCCACGGGTTCGGATCCCATATAGGGATGGCCGGTTAGCTCACTTGGGTGAGCATGGTGCTGACAACACCAAGTCAAGGGTTAAGATCCCCTTACCGGTCATCTTTAAAAAAAGCACTTCCCTCTCCAGTGCCCACCCTGCTAGTGTAAATGCCCTGGGGTGGCTCACACCATAAGTTCCTTATGTTTTCCTCACTGGGACAGGACACCTCTCTCCTGATGGTAGAGACCAGGGCGGTTGAGGAAGGACAGGGGAACTGCCTGGACCAGGCCAGGAGAGGCCCAACAGGAGCATGCCCTTCCCCCACTTCTCCACCCCGAAGCCCCAGCACCCCTAACAAGAAGTCCTACTCCTCTTCTTCTTGCGCCTCCTTTTGCTCTTCTTGCCCAGGGCGGCGGAGCACTCAGAGCGCACAGAGGAGCTGTGGATGCTGGCACTATCGAAGTCCGACTCCTCCCGCTCATCCTCCTCGCTCTGCAGGGAAGGGAGGGAACTGTGAGCCCAGGGAGGGCTTCGTTGGCCTGGGCAGTGTGGGGTGGGATGGGGCAGAGAGGAGGCACTGGGGAGACAGTGGTCTCGTGGCTCATCTCAGCCACCCGCCCAGCTGGAAATCTCATGCCACAGCCCAGCCTGATGTCCCACCCCCCTCCCCGAGCCCTGCTCTCCATCCTGCCAAAATCCTACACATCCTTCAAGGGACAGCCCTAAGGACCCCCCCCCCAAGGAGTCTTTCCAGATCTCTCCTTAACTGGACCCGCTGCACAGCCTGTGTGCCAGATCTGGCCTGCCATTCTGCCTGCCACTTTATGAGTGACTCAGGAGCAGGGCCCACCATGGCTGAGTAGAGGGCCCAGCACATAGTAGGTGCTCAAGAAATATCTGCTGAGCTGAGTTGGACTGCCAGCTCTGGGGTGGGGCCACACCTTCTGCTCCATGCTCCCCTCCAGAGCTGCTAAACTCAAGGCCTGGCACTCGCCCCTGCCAAGGGGCAGAGAAATATGCTCCATCTTTGCTCCGCTGCAGGGCTGGGACAAGGCATGGGGAACAGCACACGGAGGCACACACATACACGCTCACACACGTGCATGCACACACACGAGCTCATACATGTGCACACACGCACATGTGCACACGTGCTCACCGAGGAGCCTTTCTTCCTCTTGTTGCTGATCCCCCCAAAACGGAACTTGAACCCGGCCACTTTTTTCCCCTTGCCCTTTTTCTTCCCATCTTTGGAGCCTTTGATCTTCTTCCTCACTCCAGGCCCTGAAAAACACCATGACGGTAACTAACAGCTGCCACCGATTGCTCACTTGCCACCATCATTTCACAGAACCCCCACAGTAACCCGACAAGGAAAGGGTCATTTCTACCATCGCCACTTTTCATGTGAGGTGGCTGAGGCGCAGAGAGGTGAAGTCATTGCTTAAAGTCACGCAGTGAGTAAGGGGAAAAGCCAGAGAATAACCCTGACCCGAGACTGTCTGCTCTGGCCAACATGCTGTCCCTGTCCCATGAAGGGCAGAAACACTGGCCATTGTGGGACTGGCCCCTATACTGTTCCCACCCCACCCCCAGAAAGGAGCTGCCCCCAATGGAACCACCAGCCCCCAAAGCCAGCAGGGCCACTGAAGGCACACCTGGCCATCTATGGTCCATGCCTAGGTCCCTAGAGGGGCGTCCTGGAGCCAGAAGCCTTTCCCCCAGCTGCCAGCCTCCCCAGGCCCAGACAATGCTGGCACCACCCAAAGCCACCCCAAACTCTGCCAGTCACCCCTGGGTAAGCCCAGCAGGGTTGAGGTTGTTTTATGGAGCTGGCCACAAGGCAATTAGCTGTCTAGGAAGTAATGACCGCCCCGCCCCCAGCAGCCATCTACTGCCAGGCTGAGCGGGAATGCTGGGGGCCTGGAGGCAGGGGTTCACACCCTGCAGAGGTGGCCTCGCCCCAGATCCTCCTCCGGCACACCACACGCAGGGACTTGGAGCTGGGAGCCCAGCTGCACCCTCAGTGGCGCCACAGAAAAATCTATTTCAATTTTTTAAGCTCTGCATAGACAGCCCAGGGAATCGATAGCTCAGCAGCCGGAGCTCAAGAGAAAATGAGGAAGCAAGGGACGTTGGGCAGGTGGGGACAGGCCAGGAGTCCCTCCTTAGATCCTGGTGACCAGGACAAAGCAGGACAGGGAGCAGGCTCTGACCCACGACACTCAGCCCTCCAGGCCCCCTTCGTGAAAGGGGACACCACAGCATCGTCCTAGAAACCAAAGCTCCTCGGGGCTGAAACAAGGGGTCCCTAGAGCCCATTTGGCCACCCATCAAAACGCAAATCATAACACCAAGGTTACCAGTTCAAATCCCCTTACCAGCCAGCTGCAAATAAAAAATCAGGGCACCCAGGAAGGCTTAGCTGATAGCGATCCCACCACTGACAGCTCTGGCAAGATCAATGTCCCCAACCCCAAGAGGCCAGAAACCTCCACCTGGGGAGCACCTTCCCCAGGGCCTTCCAGTCACAGAGGGCCTGCCAGCCCTGACCATGCCCACTCCTTGCTCCAAACGCCCACGTGTTTCCTGGATCCTAAAGCAGGAGGGGCAGGGACTTGATCCTCCAAGCTACCCCAGGGGCTTGGAGAAGGGTCCTGCACACAGTGGGTGCCCGGACCAGGGGGTCAACGGGCTGATCTGGGGTCTCCTCCTCCCCAGGAAGAGCGCAGCCCCAAACTCAAGAGCCGGCCAACTCCCAGAAGCCCGGGGTTGGAGGCTCCACACTGAGGCCTCCCCTTGCCGCCTCCGTGCCTCCGTCCCTCCATCCCTCGGTGCCTGCTCACCCAAACCTCCACCCACATCGGCTCCTCTGCCTCTCCCCAAGCCCCAGAGGTAGGCTGGTCAGAAGGATGGTGCCGCATCACTGCTGAGAAAGGGCATCCAAAGTCACACGAGGCACCAGCCAGCTGCCCCTGGCTTCCTGGGTCTGTCCCTCCCTGCCCGGATCTGCCCCGTGGCTCCTCCTATGATGTCTAGTGTCAGGGGGTGGCGGGGACCTCACCCTTGCCCTCCTTGGTCTTGGCCTTGCGGATGGGTGCAGGCTGGGGCGCCTGCTGGGGGCTGACAGCCAGCGCAGGGGCAATGGTGACCGTCTCTACGGCCGCAGCCACCGCCGCTGCAGCCGCCGCCGCCGAGCTACCCTTGAAAGGGTTGTTGGCGCTGAACTCCCGCCACTTGGCACCCAGGACGGTCATCATTTTGGACATGGGAATCTTCGGGTTCTTCTTGGCAATGAGCGGCCTGTGCGGGGAGAGGCAGGAGGGTGGGAACAGGGCCGCGGAGGGGACGGGAGCCCACCAGCCCCCAGGGACAACCCTTCTCGTCCCACCCCTGCAATCTGTGGGCCCAGCTTCCTGTTCCTGGTTAGAGAAATGAGGCAGAAAAGGGGGTTAGGGGAGGTCAAAGTTGGGACAACCATCCACCCCCAAAACACTCCTGATTCCCTGTTCACACAGTTGGCAACTTTCTAATCGGGTTTCCAGATCCTGCAAGATCCGAAAGGTCCGAGAGGCCAACAGCGGGCCTTGGGGTCTCCTGCCCCACCCCACCAAGCTGAGACAGGCCATGGTGGCTAAAGGCCCCGGGAAAGACTGAGACCCCCTCCCAAGGGGAAGAGACACAGGGCTCGGGGACAGGCCCAGCAAGGGAGGGCCCAACGTCTGTTAAAATGAACGGGT